CCACAATAATATAATTATTATGTTTAAACATCAAACAATCAACCCAATTACCCATCCCCATTATCTTCTTTACTCTTAAGGATCTACCCTAAGAATCAATTATTCCTCGTTCATTCATTCCTAAGGATCATCCTAAGGAATCGGCACGAAGTCCATCGTCACCGGGGTTTAGGCACTAAGTCTGCATAGTCGCCAGGATTTATACAACAGGCACTAAGTCCGCATAGTCGCCAGGGTTTAGGCACTAAGTCCGCATAGTCGCCAGGGTTTAGGCACTAAGTCTGCATAGTCGCCAGGGTGTATACAACAGGCACTAAGTCCTCATAGTCGCCAGGGTTTTGGCACCAAGTCTGCATGATCGCCAAGGTTTAGGCACCAAGTCTGTATGATCGCCAGGGTTTAGAGTACACCGGGTGAACACATCGTTCACAACACCTACAGGTTGCGAGCCTGCTAGTGTTCTACTGGATTGTCTAGAATAGTTCGTGGTTGTCATCCATACTCTGCTAGATGACGGGGCCAACATTTGGGAACAAGGCTTCTCACATCGTCCACCTCTCACCCTTACCTCATGGTCTATATCACCTCTCAACTCATCATCCAACTCATATTTCATCTACCCATGTTTTACCTAACATATTATGTAGATATAAATACATATACAGTTTAAATCATATAAAACTTGTATAAAATCGTTCATCCAACATAGATAGAAAGTATACAGATAATATGCACACATAGCATGTAATTTATATAAAATACTTCATATCTATGTGTAAGATGAAAGTAACGATGCACTCACCTGGTAAGGTGGTGACTCGGTACTCGGACAACACTTCGTTATCTCAAAACAATTTTCCCTTGACAAAACCTAGTATCAATACCACTAGGGTTTAGTCTAACGTTAACTGCGACTAATTAATAGTCTAGCTATTATTACTATTATATAAGCGTTAAGTAACACTCTTATATAACTCATAATAATAGCCCATATATTTATTACAAGGTCCTAATAACATTACTATAAGCTATACTTAAGGTAGGGTAAGCATATCTCACTTACCAGGGGTTTGGCTAGGAGCTGGGCTCTGCAGGGGCAGAACTTCCGAGCCGAAAGCTTGTCTTTTCGGAGCCTTTCGGCGCTCTGGGACTCGCCTCTAACACCTAGGAGGTGCTAGGGAAGGGGGAAGAGGGTTTGGGGGTAATGAGAGAGAAAGAGTATGAAATGTGTGAGTTTTGGGGGTGATTTACACCTCGATGTATAGGCTGTCTGGGCTGATTCACGTCGTGAGAAAGGGTGCTCACGTCGTGAGCCTTGCGTAGGCTCCAAGGCGAAGTCTGGTGCTGACACATGGCGCCGGACGCAGGTAAAACAACCAATCTTTAAAAATTCATAACTTTCGCATACGAACTCCGTTTTTGACGTTCTTTATATCCACGCGTAGGTAAAGACAAGATCTACAACTTTCCTTTTGACTCCATCGGCTTATTCTCGACCGATTTTAAATTTAATAATATGAGAAGATTACACTGTTAAATGTCTGCATAAAATTCGTAACTTCTTCATACAGACTCCGTTTTCGTCTGTCTTTTTATCATTGAGTTCCTATTAATTAGATATTCAACTCTCATTTAGGTTGTGTAAGCCAAAAACCGCTCGAACTAAAATTCGAGTTTCGGGCCGTGCACTACTAAGCCAAATCTTAGAAAATTCATAACTTCCTCATACGAAGTCAGATTTGGGCGTTCTTTTTTTATATGTTCTCGGTTTAACGTATACTACAACTTTAGTTTAGATCACTAAGGCTAAAAAGTTTTTCATCGTAATTTCACTATTTACGTCTCCCGGTGTCGTACCGGTTTTGCTGTAAAACTTCGACGGACCATAACTTCTTCGTTATAACTCGGATTTCGGCGTTCTTTATATGTACGGAACCCTTGTAACATATACTACCACTTGGAAAAGATTAATCATTCTAAATAATCTTCCATCAAAAACTCATTTTTGATGCTTATTGTCTCTAAATTGACTAGCCCGGATCTGCGGGCGTTACAATTTTTTCAGAAAAATAGAAGTTGAGAAAAATATTATGATAGCGTGTTCCAGACTAGTTATATGCATTATGGACTAGTTTTGCATATTCCAGTTTTGCATGTTCCAGAGCGTTTCATCCTGGACCACTTATTTGTGTTTCATACATACGTTTTGTACCAAAGAAATGCAACATATCCTCATTATTAATGTCAAATAAGACTAATTATTGATGATAACTAGACATCTACCTATTTTGACCGTAAATTTGATGAATTTCGGAATGATTTTGCATGTTTCGCATATGATTATCATATTGCAGACAAATTTTTTTATTCTGACATGATTTTACACTATCTGAATCAATAAAATAATAAAAAATCTATAAATAGAGAGAACATATTTACAACACCCCAATCTTTTTATAATTTGAAGTCATTTTCATCAATCAATAGAGAGTCTGAAATGATATTTCGAGATCTAGTGGGTACCACATTCCGAAACCATGTATAAATAGAAGGACCACTCAATCCGTGTCGGGTGCCCAAGTCCAACCAATATTGAACCCGGAATGATCCATTTTCGAAAAATCGATCATGTTAAAAAAAATTTGTCTGTAACATCCCGAGTCCAGGTATACCTCGTAACCCTTGATCATTTGAGTAATTGGCCATTTTAGTCCCTTTATGAGAAAAGGTGGTGAATGAGTACGCGGGGCGTACGCGAGTGTACGCTCAGCGTACTCATATGTGTGCATTTGACGCGGAAGCCACCTAGTACGCTAGGCGTACCAGAGGGTATTTTAGGGTTTTGTCCCAAAAGATGGAGACTTTATGTGATATTGTACTCCATAGACTATGATCCACCCCCTTTGAGTGTATTTGATGGTGTAGTGCCATAAAAATCCAATCTTGGTCGTTGGTATCAAGCCATGCAAGAGCTATGAGCTTGTTGAGAAAAGAGAGTGAGTGTTTTGTGTGTTTGTGACCATTCCAGCCATGCAAAGGCTTAAAGTCACTGACTTTATGGAGTAAGAGCTATTAGGGAGTCCAGATCTGTGATATGAGCTAAGGTCTTAGCTGATTAAGACCAAATGAGTGAGTAGGGTGAAACTGGGACGTACGTTGGGCGTAATCCCAGTATGCGCAGTGTAGGGGTCGAGCATCCCCGATGCCTGCATGGCAGCCGAGTACGCCCAGCGTAGAGAGTTGGTACGCGCAGCGTACTCCCTACCGTTGACTTTTGGTTGACTTTTAGGGTTTGGTCAATTTGTGGACTATTAAGCCCATAAAGGGGTAAAATGGTCTTTTGCCCTTCTGTGAGTTTGTAGAAGGGTTAGTTTAGCTTCAGTGAGAGCCTTTATTAATTATGGATAATTATCGCTGTGTTAGGCGGAGGCTAGACCGGTGATTCGAGTTCGAGATTATCCGAGTTCTTACGAGGCGAGTCTTCTCACTATACTTACCTTGAGTGGTAACCTATGTGTGACCAGAGGGTCTTATGTGCATATACTGTGTATTGAGATATCCTGCTATTTGTCTTTGTGATATGTATGTTGTGTATTATATTGAGTTGCTGAGTTGAGGGACCGGAGGGTCCATCTGAGTTGTGGGACCAGAGGGTCCCACTGAGACACATTTGACCAGAGGGTCTTATCTGAGTATAGCCATGAGAGGTTGATGAGATATGAGTGGTATTTTGGATAACTCACTAAGCTTTGTGTTTACCGTGTTATGTGTTATGTGTTTCAGGTACTTCTCGGGATCATGGGAAGGCGTCGGCTTGATTGTACACACATCAAATATTTGAGTCATGTTTTTTAGAGGATCTTGGATTTGCTATATATAGAGTTTTTGGATATGTGTTTTGATGATTTGACATTATGACACTTTGAGATGTTTTGAATTGAGAAAAATGTGTTTTAAATTTGAAAAAAATTTGGTTTGAAAATTTACATTGTTACACTGTCTTTGATTATTTTATTTATATTAACTTTAAATATGATGTTTTTGTTAATATTCTGTTTTTATATTAATATTTTTAATAAAATATTAAGTTGATTTGGATTGATAATAAACAATAAAATTAAACTAATTATATTATTTATATGAACTAGAAAGGTTACCCCCGCTACGCGGGGGCCAGAAGCTTTCAATGTTATTTCCGAATTGATAAATATGACAGACATAGAAAGTGCAATGATGAAAAGTCCGGGCTTTGCCCCAGACAAAAAATGTAAAAGTTTTGACTGCAAGGACCAAAAGTGTGAAAATGGCTAAAGAATTAAAGGGGTAGGAATTAGCAACTTTTTAGAAAAGGGATCAAAGTTGTCAAACCGTTAAAGTTTTGTGGCCAAACTTTAAATATTAAAAGGTTCCAAAAAAGTGTAAAAATATTGATTGCAAGGACCAAAAATGTCAAAATGGGTAAAGAATAATGAGCAAAGTTGTCAAAAAACATCCAAATTTAGTATTCCTAACTTCCAACAATAATACAGGGACCAATTCTGCCAAAAAAATGAGAAGTTGAATGGAACACAAACAAAAGGACATGAATAAATTAATTAAAGAAGTACAGGGACCGGATATGTAAATCAAGGGGCCAAAGCTAGACAAAATATGTCAACTTTACTATTCCTTTCTTCCACGACTTTAATATATATATATATATATATATATATATATATATATATAATAATAATAATAATAATAAGAGATATATATAATATTATTTAACGATCGTGTTGGTTTGAATCACCAAGAGTTGCATAGTCACTACAGATTTTTATTCAAAAAATTTATTAATTAAATATATATTATTTTCATTACTTTTAAGAACAATCTGTATTGAAAGCATTGTTTCTTAAAAAAATACTAAAAATAGATATAGTATTATTAACATTAATATAAGTTATCCTCCCACAAGATGATGAGATAATCATATATCCAGCCACAACCAAACAAGCATTTGTAGAGATAGAAAGAGAAAGTGAAAGAGAGATTAAAAAGCAAAGGCGCCTCTTTTCCCCCCTATCTTTTAATCATGGCCCCTTCTCTCTCCGTAAGTAAAAAAGGTTTGTTCTTGATGTCTCTTTATGCTCCCCTCAGGTTTTGGTGAGGCAGGCGTACCTCATATTAGGAAATTTACATAACCCCCCTTGTTCTCTTCTCCTCATTTCTTGTCTTTTCTTGATGATGCCTTCCAGTTTTCCCCAATTCTACTTCTGAGTTTCAAACAAAGGCTTGTGATTTCCCATGATTCCCTTTACCTTTCCCTTTTCTTCCACCAAAAAAAGACGTGATTTTGATTGGGTTTCGCAGCTTCAACACTGACTACATGATTAGGAAAGAGATGGAATCATGTGTTCTTGTAATTATCTCACTGTAGCTGCGAATCTTTGTTTCTTGATGAATTGTGAGCTGGGTTTGCTGGTAGATCCATCTGTACCTTATAAAGATTCTGCTTTTTGATGATATTTTCTGCTATTATTGAGTTTCCAAAGCTTTTTCTCAAGTGGGTGTTTGTTACAATGTCTTTGAATTCCAAGATTTCTGGGTTAAATGGTAGATTGATGACCAGTTCAAAGATGAGGAAGACTAAAGAGCCTTCGAGGGGATCTCATAGCGGCTGGAAAAGGAAAAGATTGCTCCTTTTTGTGTGGGTTTTTCTTATTGTCATTGGGTTTGGTTTATTTTTATTCAGTGGCGTTTTAAGGAAGAAGACGGATATAACAGTAACAGGAACATGTGAAGATAAATCGTTACTCTTGGTTGAACAATTTAACGTCAGCAAAGAGCTTCTTCATGAGCTTGCTTCCTCATTCTTTGAATCAGATCAGGTCTTCCCTCTTATGTCTTCTTCGTTTTACTTCATCTTTCCACTGTTCGATTTATACATTTCAATTATGTTCTAATTTTCGTGGGTATCTTTCAGATAACCACACTGAAATGTATCAAGCAAATGGGATACGAAACATCAACAAAAAATGAAATCACCTGCGCTCTCACAGCGCAAAATCCTGCAGAAAATGTCGAATTGTGGGGCCAATGCCCTGTTGACCATGGCGATACTCCGATGGTACTTGAAAAAGTTACATTCGAGCATCACAACAGTATTATGAAGGTCACCCTGTTGGCCCTTTCTGTAATCGCACTTTGTTGTGTGATTTTGTGGAAGAATCGTAAAGGGAAACTTAAGAAGAAAGAGCAAGCATTGACCTCGTCAAAGGGTGCAGGAAAATGGATGAAGAAGCTTCTGGTTCTATTTGTATTAACTGGAATTATTGTATCGATTTGGTTGTTTTGGTACTTAAATGAAGGTACACGCATTAGAAGAACAGAAACCCTAGAAAACATGTGTGATGAACGTGCGCGAATGTTGCAAGATCAATTCAATGTGAGCATGAACCATGTTCATGCTCTTGCTATTCTTGTTTCCACTTTCTATCATGGGAAAGAACCTCCTGCTATTGATCAGGTAATATTTCTTTGACATCTTGGATTTTGTCAACACTCTTTCTAAATTAAGAAACTTTTTGTTTGTATTATTAACAGAAAACTTTTGGGGAATATACGGAAAGAACATCTTTCGAGAGGCCATTAACTAGTGGAGTTGCGTATGCTCTTAGAGTGCCTCACTCTGAAAGGGAGAAATTTGAGAAAGAACATGGATGGACAATAAAGAAGATGGAAACTGAAGATCAAACGTTAGCACAAGATTGTGACCCTGAGAACTTGGATCCTTCACCTATTCAAGACGAATATGCCCCTGTTATCTTATCTCAAGAAACCGTTTCTCATATTGTATCTATTGATATGATGTCTGGAAAGGTATTATCTTCATCAAGGTTAAAAGGGTCTTTTTAGTTTCTTCATTCTTGGCTAATTTCACTAGTAAATTTATAACTGGATAACAAATAATCCGCATTTATGCATGTTTATTGCCGCATTTTCATTTTTTTTTTCAATGAGCTTTAGGAAGACCGTGAAAACATTTTACGAGCAAGGGCATCTGGAAAGGGAGTATTGACATCTCCATTTAAGCTATTGAAATCAAACCACTTAGGTGTTGTGCTTACTTTCGCTGTCTATAATGCTCATCTTCATCAAGATGCTACACCAGAACAACGAATTAAATCCACTGTGGGATACCTCGGTGCATCTTATGACGTGCCATCTCTAGTTGAAAAGCTTCTACACCAGCTAGCAAGCAAACAAACCATTGTTGTCAATGTTTATGACACAACAAATGTTTCAGCAGCCATTAACATGTTTGGTCCTAATGAAACTGATACAGGATTGCTCCACATCAGCAGTCTTGATTTTGGTGATCCTGCTAGGAAGCATGAAATGCGTTGCAGGTGATATTGAAAAAAGATTGGACTTTTAACAATTGGGCCACTTGAATTTACGTTAATTGGATTCCGTTTTTTTGAACAGGTTTAAACAGAGGCCTTCTGTACCTATGACAGCAATAATAGCGTCGATTGGAGTGCTTACAATCACGTTTCTTCTTGGGCATATATTCTATGCAGCTATAAACCGAATTGCGACAGTGGAGAGTGATTGTCGGAAGATGATGGAGCTCAGAAATCGTGCCGAAGCTGCTGATGTGGCAAAATCTCAGGTTCATCAACGAATTACAACATTCGCATAATCACATTGCTAGGGTTTTAACTTTTAACTTTCCATATCTGCCTTTTCCCCTTCATAATCATGAATAATATCTCTTGTAGTTTCTTGCAACGGTTTCACATGAGATTAGGACCCCAATGAATGGTGTTCTAGGGATGTTGCAGATGCTAATGGACACAAATCTGGACGCGAAGCAATTGGATTTTGCACAAACTGCTCATGCTAGCGGGAAAGATTTGATAAAATTGATTAACGAAGTTCTTGATCAAGCAAAAATTGAATCTGGAAGGCTCGAACTTGAAGCTGTCCCATTTGATTTGCGCACCATTCTTGATGACATTTTATCTGTATTTTCAACTAAATCCCAAGAAAAGGGGATCGAGGTACATACCAAATTTCCTATTCTCCATTATATATTACTAGGGTTTATGTCATAACTTAAATGACCATCACCATTCAACTTTCAAAACCCTAAATCGTCAAAAGGGTAAAACTTTTATGGTCATATGTAACATAAACCCTTATTACTATGATAGTATGTATGATGCATTTCTTCTAACTAAATCTTAAATTTTGTTCTTTTGGGCGAGAAGTTGGCTGTATATGTTTCTAATCAGCTTCCCAACATGGTTGTTGGAGACCCTACTCGATTCAGACAAATAATCACAAATCTTGTTGCGAATTCACTTAAAGTTAGCATCTTTTCTCATCTTTATTAGATTCAATTCAACACACGCCACTCTCCATGTCACGTTCTCTAAATTACCATTTTGCCCTTTGCAGTTCACACACGATAGAGGACACATATTCGTGTCAGTCCATCTAGCAGACGAATTGACAAATGAATCCAATACAAAAGACGAAATCTTAGCCTCTCTTCATGGGTCGATAGAAAGATGTAATACTTTAAGTGGGCTTACTGTGGTTGATAGGACAAAAAGCTGGGAAAAATTCTTGAAATTAAGTGGTGAAGATTCGATAAATGAACCTGAAAAGATTAAAATATTAGTGACTGTTGAAGATACGGGTGTGGGAATCCCTATAGATGCACAAAACCGTATTTTCATGCCTTTTATGCAGGCTGATAGTTCAACATCAAGAACTTATGGTGGAACTGGAATTGGATTGAGTATTAGTAAACGATTGGTGGGATTAATGAATGGTGAGATTGGATTTGTTAGTGAACCGGGTATTGGAAGTACTTTTTCATTTACAGTTTTCATGAAAAAAGAAACATCTTCTCTTGATACTGGATTACATCAATATCATCCAGTCATTTCAGAGTTCAATGGACTAAAAGCATTGGTGATTGATTATAAGAATATAAGAGCACAAGTCACTCGATATCGTCTTCAAAGAATGGGAATATTAGTTGAAATTGCATCTTGTTTTGATTCTGCACAATCTTATCTTTCCGAAAGGTAAATTATCTTGCTCAAGACTTTGAATTTGGATAGTTAGGGGTTCTTTTTGACTTAATAATCTTAATGGGTTAAGCACTTAATCATTTTTTTTTGTAGTGATTCTGGTTTTGCGATGATTCTTGTTGATCAAGAAGTATGGGAAAAGGAGAAAAGTCTTGTGTTCCTTCATGGCGTTAAAAGTAGCACGAAATTGTTTCTATTGGCTAATAATGTAAACCCTAGGGTAAACAATGAGATGAAATCGGCTAATTTGGTGGCAACTGTTGTGGTAAAGCCACTAGGATTAAGTGTGTTAATTTCTTGCTTTCAAGAGAAGTTTAATGTAGGAAACAAAAGAGTTGTAGCAAGAAGAAAACCGTTGAGTTTAGGGAGTTTGCTACGTGATAAAAGAATCTTGGTAGTTGATGATAATGTTGTTAATAGACGAGTGGCAGAAGGTGCTTTAAAAAAGTATGGAGCTATTGTTACTTGTGTAGATAGTGGGAAGGCTGCTAAACAGAAGCTTAAACCACCTCATGATTTTCACGCGTGTTTCATGGATCTTCAAATGCCCGAAATGGATGGGTAAAAAATAAAAATTAACAAACTCTTTATCTTTTTTTTTTTTTTTTTTTTTTTTTTTGTTGTAATCGTATACTCAAATGTCTAAAATACCTTTTAATTACCATTTTTTGTTATAATAGGTTTGAAGCTACAAGGCAGATTCGCAGCTTGGAGAGCAAGTTTAATGAAGGAATCAAATCTGGTGAAGCTTATTGGCACACACCTATTTTAGCAATGACTGCTGATGTCATCCAAGCTACTGATGAAGAATGCATGAAATGTGGAATGGATGGTTATGTATCAAAGCCATTTGAGGAAGAACAGCTCTATTCAGCTGCAGCTAGCTTTTTTGAGTCTGGTTGATTGTCTGAAATCTGAATGGTTTAGTGGGTCCCACTTCCACTGTAAGTTAACCCTGGTTAACATCTTAACCATGGTCCAGTTCCACCATAGTGGGTTGAACCAGGCTGACCTCTAACCTTGGTTAAGAACTTTAACAGTCTGGTTAGATGGCCAAAGAAGCAGCATTGCAATTGAAGCTTGCATCATATTATAAGTCGCTGTTCTTGCCATGGTAAACACTTCCAAGATCATTGATTTTGAAAAAAAGTTTCTTACTTTCTTTATCTAATCATTCTTTTTGTTTATGGTATGGGTATAAACAATCTTGGATCAGTTTTGAGATTATGTTATGATAATTTGAGCTTAAAACCTTTTTTCTTCAAATTTTCAGTTGATTATGAGCATGGGATATGCATACGAGAGACTTCATTCACCTGCTGACAGAAGACTCGGGAAATCTAACTTTCTGGTGTATAAAAAGTTAAAAACCCGATATGGGTTGTTTGAAAATGTAATGTAATAATAATGATAATAATAATAAAAAAGAAAACTCTTTATTTGTTGTATACATGCTTACATAAATGTTTGTTATTTTAAGCAAGTTTCAAATCATTTATATATATCAATTATAGATTATAGATTGGTGTATGAGTCCAACTAAGGCTACCTACATGTACAATTGTTTGAAACAACTTAGGCATCCCATGAAACACGACATCTTTAAACTCCTTCCACTTTGGATCATACTTCACCAAACTCCCACCTCTATACTCCATCAAAATCTCACCATTCTTCAACACACACAAAACCCTAACCATCTTCTCATGACTATGAATCGGGAAGTTTGCAAGATAAGCCCCATGGATATCGAACCGCTTCACCCACGACTCTTTCACATCGTATTCCTTCATCACCCAAATCTCCAACTTCCCGTATCCGCATGACACTGCCGCCGCGAGACACCCTTCGATCACCGCCAGGTGGTAGTTGCTCCTGTTGACAGGCTTCGAGACGAGCTTGAACTGCTCGTCTTTCAGGTCGAACGAAACAATCGTTCGACCTGGAAGCCCGCCCAGGCGACCCGGGCGGCTCACAAAATGGAGCCGCCCGTTAACAGCTACCACTTCTTTAGCTTGCCTGTCTAGCTGATAAGGTACTTTCCCTAGGCATCTCCACGTGTTGGAATCCGGTTGGCCAATGGTCAAGACGTGAACCTCGGATTTAGGGTAACTCCTGTTGTTTCGAGTTAACTTACGTGGGGTTCTGTAGTATACGATCCTAACAACCTTGTACTCGTTTGTAAGAGGGTGAAACCCGAATCCGAATACTACTTCTTGGTCTTGAAACTGTTTGGATTTTGGTAGCTCGATGTGGTTTCTGGTGAACGGGTTGAACACGTAGACCGGGTCACCATAAAGTGAATCGGACAAACACAATAAGCCATTGCAAGAGCCCACGACGTTGAATTCCGGCATAGAACGACAAAAGGGTGTGGATATCTTTCGTACAATCTTATCACCACCGTGGTCACCATTGTAGCCGACAAAATAAAGCTGGTTACGGATCGGGTAATCGCAGTGGAACACCAAGATGGGGTCTGATTTCGCCGCCGTGGGGTGGTGGAGGCGCGGCAGTTCAGGATCGTGAGACAAGGCGTGGCATGACCGGCTTACGAACCGGAATTGCATCAGTGAGGATATCGGCAACCTGGTAAGAACATCGAGAAGCAAATCTCTTGGTAAAATCTCGAACCCAGAAGGGTGGTTCTTGATCAAGATCCCCGTCTTCTCTTCTTCATCAGCAAGCTTCGGTTTCTTGTTTCTGGGTTCATCTTGAAAACTCGAACCCATGCACTCGAAACAAAGAAATGAGAGAAGATGAAGAGGGAGAGGGAGATTCAAGAAACCGGAGGAAATAAGCAGAAGATGAGATGAAAGATGCTTTTGGAATACTGAGAGACGGAAAGCACAACGAAAATAATATAGCTGTAGGTGGTTGAAATTTGATGGTAACAATGCTTTACATACTTGTACGTTGTGGCATATAATATAAAATTTTCACCATTTTCGTATAGTTTGTATACAACTTAAATTAATGGGGTCCATCCTTGAATAATAATTTGTAAGCATCTGTGACAAAAGTCCACCTTTTCTCCATCAAAAACGGGTGTTGAGACAAAAATTTCAGGCCAAGAAGATAATGACCATTTTATCTTTATTTATATATTATATATAAATAAATATAAATATAAATATATATATATTAAAAAAAAGAGAGATGAAAGTGGGTTAGTAACAATACGACTTTTGATCTGCCTTTTGTTTCAAAAGTTTTCTACTTTTGACTTTAAGGGTCAAACAGGCTAATTTCAATTTTAAAAGAGAAATGTAAATATGTTTGTATTATTAAGAAAAAAATGATTAATTATGTTAAAGATATGCAAAATTATAAATACATACAGTATTAAACTATTAATGTCAAATTCATAATATGATAAATAACAATAAAATAAAGTTATGATAACATAAGTTTGACATGTAAAATCAAAAGAAAACACCAAAGTGGAATTTAGTCTTAGGAAATCTTGAATTACGCGACTGTAATGATTTCCAGGAATCAAAGATTGGCACAAAATCAAGATCCATTACGATGGTGTAAACGTGATCTGATTCGCTAACAAAGCAACAATATGAAGAGGACTCCATATATATATTTGGTGATTTGTACTTTATGCATTAAATGTTATACTATCAACCCAATTTCATATACGTACTTTTGAATATATGATTTACAGTTTACTGATTAAAATGATTGGTGCAGATTCAATGTTCATGACACCAATGTGAAACCTTCCCATGTGGAATATGTAACACATTGTAGTCGAATTGGGACACCTTCCACATGATCCAACACAAACAACAGCCATATTTGGATCTTGATCTGTAAAAGTTCACTTCCCTTGTCATATATATAAACCCCATCTGTTTCTTCCCATTTCCCTTCTCTCTCTCTCTCTCTACCATTTTCTCTCTCTAAAAATGTCACCTTTTGTTCTGAAGATGTTGCTGCCATTGATGCTTCTTGTGGTTATGCTTCCACAAAGATCTAGTAAGTAATCTAATTGATCACTTGTCAATCTTGATACATTTCTTGATTTTTTTTTTTTTTTGGTTTTATATACATAAATAGATAAATATACATGTACATATATAAACATATAATAAGAAATTATTAACATCAATCTCAAAACTGCCATTTTCAGTTTCTTATTCCATCTTCCACAATACCCATGTGCATTTCAATCCAGTATCATGCTATCCCTACATACATATATACATTTTTATATATACACATCACTGACCCCACTGAACCATATCCATAGTTTTATTGTATAAACAATTAAAGACTTTGCATTTTACTAATGAAACTTTGTTTTTATGTGTATGTTGCATTTTGGGTAATGAAAATGTATAGAAGGAGATTTTGAGCAATGGTGCATATCAGATAGTCAAGCAACAGATGCAGAATTACAGGCAGCATTGGATTACACATGTGGGGAAGGTGGTGCAGATTGTAGCAAGATTCAAGAAAACCAATCTTGTTATTTACCAAACACACTAAAAGATCATGCTTCATTTGCATTCAATGCTTATTATCAAAAATTTAAACATAATGGTGCTTCTTGCTACTTTCATAGTGCTGCAATGACAACCGAAAAAGATCCCAGTAAGCGTTTTTTTTCTTGATTCTTATATATAATTTAGGGTTAAGGTTATATATGGATAAAAAAAATGTATATTTTAATAAGTAATTTTGAGTATAAGGTACAAAAAAGGTAAAAATTGCATATTTTGATCGGTAAATGGTTGATTGATAGTTGTTGATTGAGTCGGTAAAACACATATCACAGACTATAGGACCGAGTCAGGCCCAACTAAATGACTATTTGTAAACCTGTGTTATCAAACAGTTTGAATCTGATCAAATCAAACCAAAGACATATCAAAGAGTCCCTAACTTGAACCAAGGAGCTAGCTAGGATGTACAATTAAAACAATAGTGACTATGTGTGCATTGGACATAGTTGATTACTCATATATTATATCAAACATTAGGGTTTCAACTTTTAACCCTTTGCTAACCCATGTGATTAAGGAAAGAAAAAGTACTTGTAGGTGTTAAGGATTTTAAGTTTAGTTTAATCTTCTTTTTTTTTGGTGGAATTTTCTGACAATTTAAAAAAGGTTACCCATGTTCTTTTATAGCAACCTAATCTTTAATCTATATTCTAATTCCATTTTCCTTTTCTTTTCCTCCATCCTTTTTGGCTTTCTTTTTATCTTTTAAAGCATGAAAACATTCTTTTTTATCTTTTAAAGCATGAAAACAGATCCCTTAAATTCACATGCATGCTTTTGTCTTTACAAGCTGTGTTAATAATTAATTTTCCTTCTTTTTCATTGAATTGTTCCCACAGGTTATGGTTCATGCCACTATGATTACACTCCTTGATGCAATGGGTAACAAATTATAAAAAGACAGATCACAAATTATAAGAAGACAGATCACAAACGAATGTTTACTTTTCACTTTCTTGATTCATTTGTCTTGAAAAGAATCCTTTTTAATAGAGGTATATGTTGGAATGTTACTGGTTCTTCAGCATACTTTTACAAATTGCTAAGGCATGGGATCATAAAAGCAACAGTTTTTTAGTTCAAAAATACATGTAAAAAAACATCCCTTTAATACTCCGATTGAAATCTATAGGGGAATTATTTCTAGCTTGATTCATCTTCAGGGGTAGGAAGGTAATTCTAGAACAGCAAGCTTCCCCAGGCAGCAATAAATGCAAATCCACCAAATGGGGCTAATCGAGCATATGTTCTGTCTTCAAGAAACGCCACCATATAACACCTGCAAAGATTAAAATCTAATCAATTATATAGCATTACTTGGCTATATACAATCACATTCCAACACTTCAAAAATGAATAACTGTTCTACCAATATATGCTTATCATGTTCACCAATTATCAACTGTTTTCATAGTTATATGTAATGAATTCAGATAATGACAACTAAGAGTGTGAGGAAACACAAAACCAGAACTTACGTCCCCGAGAAGGCAACAATTCCAGTAGTCAAAAGCCCTCCAAACTACAACTCACAAGAACAAAAGAAAGAATGGATTTAGATTGCTTTCAGCAAAAGTGATTATGATTCTAATTATCATCAAGATACATGTAAAACAGATGACAATTGATAATCACTTTCAAAACGCACATCTAAACAAGTTATAAACAGAAAGAAGCAAGAAGTAGAAGAGGGAACTTACTATATTGGGGTTTTTAGTTATAGGAGCACCAATCAATGCAGCTGTATGAGCTAAATGGTAAAGAGATGCTGTGTTCCAAACCTGTCGTTTTCCACAATCATACAACAAAATAGTTAGAATCAATCTAGGTTTTCCTTCTTTCCTTTCAGATCATACAAACTAAACGATCAATCGAAGTAAAAACCATTGACATTAACCTCTTTGTAAGAAGGGTTGTTTGGTTTGAAGCCATGGGCACCATATGTGCCTAATCCAAGAGCTGCCATTCCTGTTTTTTCAGAAAAAATCAAAATTGCGATTTCGATAAGCACCAATTCGACCAAGATTCAATTAGATCATGGATTTTGAACAAGGGTTTTGGTTTGACGCGAACACCAACAAACTTACCGGAGACTGCAGCAACTTTGTGCCAAATAAGAGGATTCATTGTTCTTCGCTCTTGCGCATACACAAACTAGGGTTAGAACCAAACAAAATCAAATAAATTTATGATATTTTGAGCGGTTTTCTGCTTTCAAGAGTCAACACACTGCCCCCGCCCACCAACTGATTCGTAAGGCGAGGAAGCACTCAACTTCTAAGTTTTTGATAAAATTGTGTTTTTTTTAATATTTCACAAATCCTTAGTAATAAATCAAAATCTTTTTTTCATATGTGATCTTCTCATTCAATGGGACACATTACATTTTCTAGAATTTTTGAATTTTTTATTTTCCACTTGTCATTTTATTGTATTTTTCATTTTATTAAATTAAAATTTCATATTTAATATGTTATGTAATATATATGTAAGGTATTTATTAGAAAATGTTTATATATGTAATGTATTCAATTTATTAAAGCCTCATTAATTTTAATAATTCAAATTTATTTTTATTTTTCTTATAAATTCAAACTTCTCAAATTGTTAAAACTTCATATTTAATTTTTTTTTAAATAAACTCATGTAATACATTGATTTCACACCTAGTATTTATTAAATAGTTTAAACAAATGTATAAACTACAAAGCAATCGTTGAACGGGAAAAGTTTTATGGTGATCGAAAAAAATAAATTAGTTGGGAATGAATTTTTTATATTTTGTTTATATTTAATTAATTTTTTATTATATTATTAATAATAAAATTTATTAAATATGCATTTGGCTCATAACAATAATAATATTTAATACATTTAACGAGTATGATGGTCAATCATATAAAAAAATTATCAAAATATAATTTATTACCCTTCTAAATCATTTTTTTAATTTTATTTAAAACATTTGAAATCATTTGTATTAAATATATAATATATTAACCCCACGGGCCACCTCCCTTTGTTTACATTACGTATAAACCGTTTAATTATGAGATATGTAAGATACCAACTTTTTTTTGGAACCGGCAAATACTATATTAGAAAAAAAGGCCAAATAGCAAGAAACTATAGGCCAAAAGTACAAAGTGCATACAAGAAATATTTACATACAAGATGAAGGACTAGAGCACCAGTCAATCCATTTACAAGAACATTTAGATCTCCTATGTTTAATCCATGAAAACACCATGGATTGAATGTTCCCCGCCAGTTGATTAGGTGATATCCGAATCTTGTTAAAGACAATGTCGCACCTTGCTTTCCAAATCAGCTATGCAGTGCCATAACAAATGCTAATTAGGTTCCTTCTCTTCTTTAAGCAACTTCCCCATTTTGAGCAAAACTCCACCATGTCACTTATATTCCCAAATTGGGGTTGAGAAATGCCATACCACCTGAATATCTCCTCCCACACCTTTGCTGCCATCGAACATTTGATCAAAACATGATCGGTATCTTCTCTTTCCAGATCACAATAGCTGCACATAACTATATTAAAATTGATTCCTCTCTTTTGAAGGGCACATGCAGTTGGGATACCATTTAAGACAGCCCTCCAAATGAAACACCGCACCTTAGTCGGGACCTCCGGTATCCAATCGATCTTCCCTCCTTCACCACTCGAGTTCACCATATCTATTTGTTCTCTTACCACATTAACGTGGTACGCCCCGTCTCCAGAAACGTTGCATACCCACCGGTCTGGTTGGGTGTTTGGTAGGAATGATTCCACTTTGAGGGCCAATTCAACAGATTCACGTGCATGAGAACTGGAGGATGGGCTCGATTTCCAATCCCATGTTTTTCCCCCGGTGTTTATCCTGTCCCATATTTTGCATTTTTTAACTTTCTCCAGCTTGTACAATCCCGGGAACATTGATTTTAAATTTTCATTGTCCAGCCATTTATCTAACCAGAACAACGTGTTATCTCCTTTACCCACCTGTTTTTTTATTACATCATCAAAGTTGATTCCAGCTTTCGAGAACTCTTTTTTTATCCCTGCTATATTGTTCCAAACACCTGGAATGGACTTCTTTGAGATACAATCTGCAGCTTTGTTATTAAGATTATGGATACCAATAATAGAATCCTTCCATAGACTTGCACCATCACTGCGCAACCGCCACCACCATTTGCCAATTAGTGCCAGATTCAAAGCTTTAAGTGAACCCATCCCGAGACCGCCAGCTTCTCTAGGGGACACCACCTTTTGCCAAGAGACCCAGTTGATTTTTCTCTTCCCATCACCATTCATACCCCATAAGAATTTCTTTCTAAAACCTTCCATAGAATTTATGACTCCAGAGGGTGCAACGAACAGTGAGAAATAGTAGGTAGGTAGATTACCAAGAACCGCCTTGCATAGTGTGAGACTGTTGGATTAATGTCTAAGTCCATAACTATATTTGGTATGTACTTGACCCGACCCGGCATGGTCCATTTGGGTTGCACTTCACCGACACAATTTATATGGATAGTCTTTTGAGAATAGTATATTTATGATTTATATTAATATATTATAAGTTCTAATATATTAATATGGAATCATATTATTTAATTAGTATTGATCAAGAATTAATTTAGAATTAATTAAGTGATCAAAAAGAACTAATTAAATATGGACTCTTATATATATGGAATGGGCCAAGTTCATTTAGGTTGGGCTACGCTTTCATGGATGGTCCATGGAGCTTTTAACCCATGGATCCTATGTAAATGAAAGGTCATGGGTATTAGGGGTTTAAAGGGTCCAAAGGGTCCATATGTTTATTTTGCCAAAGGAAGGGGCGTTGATTGCAAAGCTGCCAAATTTACCTAAGGATGTTAAAGTCAATAAGTTTGACTCTACATCAGGTAGAGCCCATTATCTAACTCTGTTAAGTTCTATTCTGAGATCCTCATTACATGATGTGACTGGATCACATGTTGATGTTTTAAGTGTAACATCCCAAAAATACCAGCTAAAAATTTCATTTTTAAATTAGGTTAATTCATAAAAACATCGTTACAGAACATTCATAATATTAATTGATGTCTGAGAACCGGTAACATCATAGTAAAATATTCAGAGTACATCCCAGAAAATCCATAGTGCGGAAAACATGAGAGTATGTGATATGCCGCTACCGCGCCGGCTCCTGTCCCCTAGCTGAAGAGGTACCTGAAAACAAAACTATAAAACGTAAGCACGAAGCTTAGTGAGTTCCCCCATAATGCCACCCTACCATGCAATCATATAATGAACAGCTAAGAGATACGGGCCTCGTCCACACCCATAGGGATACGGGCCTCGCCCACACTCTACTAACTAGGAGATACGGGCCTCGCCCACACTCTGCTATCCATGGAGATACGGGCCTCGCCCACACTCCGCCACTAAACCATAACATACAAGTATCACACAGACAACAAGTATAAGCAATTCTATCATACTGGCATATATCACAATCAAACTCAGCTATGAGATACGGGCTCCGCCCACACTCCGATACTAACATATCGTCTATACGGGCCGACCTTGGTGCCTTAGACCCGTCCCTACTGGAAGGAAACTCACCTCGAGAGTAGCTGCCGAAAACCTGCTCAGACTACGCCTGGCTGCCGCACCGGTAATCCCTCCGGCTATAAATCCGTAAACATGGATTAGGTACTCATAAATACCCCTAAGGTCAAATGACTGGTCAAAGTCAACTCCTTGGTCAAAGTCAACCTTCTGATTGACTGGACTCGCCGAGTCCATATGGCGACTCGCCGAGTCCATATGGCGACTCGCCGAGTCCTTCTATGTCTAGCCCGACTCTGACTCATCGGGTCCCTGTTCCCACTCACTGAGTCAGCCTGACTCGCTAGACGGGGACAACTAAAAAACCCGCGACTGGACTCGCCGAGTCCAAGGGGGTGACTCGCCGAGTCCAAGGGGGTGACTCGCCGAGTCCGACGAACAGATCTCCCAAATCGCTCCAATCAGAACATCAACCTTGGAGATTTGGAGATTCTGGGACTATAGCTACACGTTAAATTGCTAATTCCACGTGCGACTACGGAGGGTTGGACCTCCTACACTTAAACCCTTCTTATCCTAGTGACTGATCATATGACTCGCCGAGTTGGGAGAACAACTCGTCGAGTTCAAGGCTATAATCAAGGGACTCGCCGAGTTTGAAGGACGACTCGCCGAGTACCAGGCAATCTTCATAGGACTCGCCGAGTTGTTTATCCAACTCGCCGAGTCTAAGGCCATCTTCATGGAACTCGCCGAGTGCACTTTGGCACTCGCCGAGTACCCTTCGACTCTTCACCCATTCTGGCCAATTCTGAGACATGCAATGGTTCCAAACCATAAATCTAAGCTCCTAGGGCATAAACACACGGAGTTTGGGAGGTTTAAGGTCTTGAAATCCACATATAAGGGACAAAAAGGGAATCTATTATACTAAAGATTAAGAAGGAGCTTCCTTACCTGGTTAGGAGCTTCTCCCAGGGTAGATTTCGGATCTACCACACTTCCTTGCACCCTCCAACTTCCTCCTTCTTCTCTTAAGCTTCAAACTTCCTTCACCAAGCCAAAATCACTCACAAGGATCAAAATGGGTTAGGGTTTCGCTCTACAGTTCTTCTGGAAGAGAATGGGACGAAATGGGTGTTTTAGAATGGGTAAAATAGGGTGCAATGTCTGAAAATAGAGTTTCATCCAGACAGGTGGACTCGCCGAGTCCATGCATCGACTCGCCGAGTTCACCGCTCAAATCCCGTGTCCACCCTGCTGCTACTCGGCGAGTCGGGACGCAGACTCGCCGAGTTCGTGGCAAAATTAAGATAAAAACTTAAATAAAATCATACCATGAACCCGGTGTTACAAATCTCCCCCACTTATTTTAGACTTCGTCCTCGAAGTCTGCCGCTCCCTTTCAGAACAGCTCCGGATAATGCTCCATCATCTCATCCGCGGGCTCCCAAGTCCATTCCGAGCCCTTCCGATGCTGCCATTGCACCTTCACCAGCTCCACCCTTTTGTTCCTCAGTTCCTTCGACTTCCGGTCTAGGATAGCCACAGGCCGCTCGATATAATTCAGGCTGTCATCAATCTGGATGTCCTCCAAAGGTACCACTGCTGAATCGTCCACCAGGCACTTCCGCAGCTGGGAGACGTGGAAAGTGCTGTGGATCTGACTGAGTTCGGCTGGCAGGTCCAGCCGATATGCCACCTTGCCCACTCGGGCTGCAACCCTAAACGGTCCAATATACCTGGGACCCAACTTGCCCCGTTTCCTGAATCGGATGACGCCCTTCCACGACGACACTTTCAGGAGAACCATATCCCCGACCTGGAACTCCAGGTCTGATCGGCGCTTATCGGCATAACTCTTCTGCCGACTCTGAGCAGTCTGAAGCCTGCTCCGGACCTGCTGAATCTTCTCTGTCGTCTTGAGCACTACTTCGGTGCTCCCCATGACTCTCTGTCCAACCTCGCCCCAACATATCGGGGTCCTGCACTTCCTCCCGTACAACATCTCGAAGGGAGGACAGTCAATACTCGCGTGATAGCTGTTATTGTATGAAAACTCGGCTAAAGGAAGATAGGTATCCCAGCTACCACCGAAGTCTAAAACACACGCCCGCAGCATATCCTCCAGAGTCTGGATGGTCCGCTCGCTCTGGCCATCCGTCTGCGGGTGAAAGGCTGTACTAAAATGCAGACGAGTACCCAGCTCGTCATGAAACTTCTTCCAGAACCTGGAAGTGAACCGCACATCCCTATCCGAAATCACTGAAACTGGCACCCCGTGCCGTGCCACCACCTCTCTGATGTAGATATCGGCCAATTTCTCGGCCGAGATGCTCTCCTGAATCGGGATAAAGTGGGCGCTCTTGGTCAATCGATCGACGATGACCCATATCGAATCCACTCCCCGCGCGGTCCTGGGAAGCTTGGTGATGAAATCCATCGTGATGTCTTCCCATTTCCACAGCGGGATATCCAACGGCTGCATCTTGCCGTGCGGTCTCTGGTGTTCGGCCTTGACCTTCCTGCAGGTCAGACACCGCTCAACGTACCATGCTACATCCCGCTTCATGCAGGGCCACCAATAGTCCAGACGAAGATCCCTATACATCTTCGTTGCCCCTGGATGAATGGAGAATCGGGATTTGTGCGCCTCCTCCATCAGAACCTGGCGCACGCCTCCGAGATATGGAACCCACACCCTGCGGTGTAATGTCAATAATCCTCTGCTGTCATAGTCGAAGGAGGAAACCTGTCCCACAATCCGCTCACTCTTCCGATGTTCCTCCTTTATAGCCTCCTGCTGAGCCTCCCGGATCCGCTCCAAAAGCGGAGTCACCACTGTCATCCGCATGCAAATATCCCTGATCGGCGCCGCCTTGCGGCTAAGCGCATCGGCCACCACGTTGGCCTTCCCCGGGTGATAAAGGATTTCACAATCATAATCCTTTACCACATCAAGCCACCGACGCTGCCTCATATTCAGATTTGGCTGGTCCATGAGGTACCTCAAACTCTTGTGGTCCGTGTAAATCGTACAGCGAACCCCATAGAGGTAATGACGCCAAATCTTGAGGGCGAACACAACAGCCCCCAACTCCAAATCATGCGTCGGGTAGTTCGCCTCG